TTTTTGAAACGAAAAATTACGCGAAACTTCTTCATGCAATTTATGAAACGAAGCGAAATTCAAGCGTACGTGTTTTTTGTCATCCTGTAAATCACAACGAAAATTTTGCCGTAATTTTCAGATTTGGTCAGCGGATCTCAATCCTCAGCTGATGTATTCGCTTCCTGGCGAACATACGGCCAAAACCGGTTTTTCATTTAGACAAGGTTTGCAGTTAATTTAACCTCCCTTTCAAAAAGCGAGAAAGTGTCGGGTGCAGACCAAACACCACAACTGACGACGGCCTCCAAGTAAATCTGGTTAGAAGTTGTTCATAGTGATAGCTGATTTCTGGTAAATGATAGTTGTAATTAGTGACAATCGATAGAATACAACTGCAACAGGCTAATCATTTCATTGGCAGAAAACATTAACATTTTGTGAAGGCCGTCGTCACTTGTGGTGCATGGTCTGCACCCGACACTTTCTCGCTTTTTGAAGGGGAGGGTACTTTGTATACTGTTTCATCATTATCAACTTTATGCACTGATTTGAGTATATTGAATTGAAACTTTAGTGGCGCAGTCAGCGGTCCAAGGGGTGCAGCAGGTTTACGTCGATCAACAACTTCGCCTCTTTTCCTGTGGTGCTGATGCTAGTCTCAAGTTTCGTACCCTTCCTTCAATTTATAACATGTCCGAGCTAGTCTAGTCTTTTAGTTTTTACGATAATTATAAATTTATTGACCATTGCAACTGACACCAAATCTTTATGTTTTCACTTAATAAATTATCGCTTTATAATCGTTATAATTAAATGCAACGATCACGATGGCTAGAGGGGTGGTTCGCTTTCAATGATTCATTGAACGTCATTGGTGTAAGACTGCTAAGAGGTGGTCCCAACCACGCCCACCAGTCTAGTCTACCAATGGCGTTCAATGGCGTCTTCAACCGCACCGCCCTCCAGCTATCGTGATCACTGCCTTTAGGCCGATGTCAGACTTTGCGAATCGCGCGATTCGCTAGCGTCTGCGGTCGCGTCGCGGCCAGTGAATCACTCAATTGGCTGGTACCGCAACGCGACCGCGGACGCTAGCGAATCGCGCGATTCGCAAAGTCTGACATCGGCCTTAAGAATTTCTGATGACATTTTTTTACGCTCTGTCATCATAGATCCACTGGTATAGCACCATTCCGTTTGTATACATGTACGTACATAAATATTGACATGCAAGGCAATATACATTTGTTCCAGCTCTGTGTTTACCTGCTTGAACCTATCTGTAAGCTTGAAATCAAGAATTGATTGATTAGGTCCATATGCGTATTCATTTGTTGATCTACCTGCCAGGTTGTGTCTATTTATTAGGTTTTCGTGTTCACATTCGTCTTGGGAGTAAGTGCTCCGTTCAGTATCTGCTTGTGTTGTGAACAGTTTTATAAAGAAGTTTTCTCGCAGTCGCTTGCGATGTTTTGCTCTGCGCCTTTGCTCGCAGTAGATATTTATAAAACGGTTGCAAATTCTCGCAGTAAGGCTAAAATCGGCACAAGTGTAGTTGGAGGGGCATTGGGGCGTAACAATTGGTCCTGGAAATGGTAATCATATCTTTGCAGAAGGAGGAGGGTCCTAAATCGGGAGAACCTGTTTGATTGTGCGAGATGGGAAATAAGTAAGTGTGGGGCGGAATTCGTTGTCATGGTTTTGTATACCTGAGGTACTCTACACCTCTGTGCCTCTCCAATTCCAGTTGGGCCCGAAAACCCCGAATTTCGATACAAAAACATATCACTCCGCCCATCTGATTGTGCAGTCCTTCCTGCCTAAGGAATTCTTTACTGGAAAGTCATGATGACATCCCTCCGATGAATCGCTGGCTTGAGGCTATCATTCACGATGAGAACGGGAAGAACGAAAAAATTTGGATTATTTTGGTATATATCCGAAAAACAGACAGGTCTGCTACGCGTTTAAATTCCCGCCGTACAACTGTCACAAATGGCGTTAATGGCACGAACGTTGTACTTGGTTTCAGGGCCTTCACTAAAACACCTTGGCTTTTGCTATAACAATAACATTCCTCTCTCGTACCGCATCCTATCGATCGTCTTGTCTCTGCAAATTCGAATGCTTCGACCCTATCTTTCAATGCGTTAACTGATACATGGCTTTCCCATGGCGTACTTCTTTCCATGCGCTCCCTTCTCTCCGCCCGAACTACCCTGACCGTCCCAGAGTGTGGTTTTCGTAGTTTGTTTCTCTTCAGAAACTGAATCTTCTTGCGTGAAACTTTGTGTGTTGTCTCTAGTGATCACAACTGACATATTCATGTTGGGAAAGAGTGCAAGAATTTTCCGAGGACGATTCCTTGAATGTCTGTCGTCTGGTAATAGAATTCCATTTTTGAATAGGTTTTTATTCTGTCTCACTGACAAAATTGCGACAGCTTGTCTATTTATTAGTAAGGATATCAGGAGCGTCAAATACCGCGCAAGTTTGTGTTTCACGAAAAAGTCCTATTTTACCCTAACGCTCAAAATCGTGTTGGTTTTAGTAGTTGTACTGAATAGTAAGTACTTTTGAATATTGAGTGATGTAAAGTTGTGCGTTCAAGCAACGTAGTTTCACTTTTAGAGTGTTAAGGAAATCATATTTGTTGAACCACTCAGGCGAAAAACACGCATTACCCCTGCACGCGATAGCTACAGTAGGAATGTTTCTCGCTATGAAATATTACCTAACCTTGCGAACTTCCTGAACCCATGTTGATCTTGCCCTTTTGATATCATGGCCCGATTGTGCGATTATAGCGGAAATTTTCGCATACAATACCTAAATACAGCTTATGAGGTGGTTTTATCGAGCGATTTGTGTTTGAAAAAAGGACTATTCGTCACGCATACTCCCCTATGCACCCGTTCGTTATCAGACCTTCGAAGTTACAAATGGGTCAAATCCAAAATATGTTCAAGCTTCACAAGAAAATGGAAATTGAGCGATTCTCCTACCAGCATCCATCACGAACCGCCATACTTCCAGTAGCGTCGCCTTTTGGCTTTTCTTGACAGTAACTGGCGCTATCGCAAGAAACGGGGGCATTGTGGTGGACATGCATTTAAACACCTAATACATCTCCAGTTTGATAGTATCGGGAGTACCCTAACAGTTTCCAATTGTAATGAAGTTCCTACCCCTTCTAAGCTTAGTGCTGGAGGATGCCCAGTACCTTGTGATTGCGTCCAGTAACTTGAAGCCTACCAGTAGTTCAATGAGCATTGATAGGTTCATCGTTTCTTGTATGAATATAACAATCAATATAAATATAATTCTGTATAAATCCATTTTAGAGACGTGGAAAGTAATTGAATAGTGGAGACGAAATCGTGTCCATCTGACGGTCTTCGTTTGGCGGAGTGATGCACATGTGCCTCACAGTCTGCATTTTTTGTTGCCACAACCCCAGATGAGTCCCTGTCGAAGAATATGTTTTGAGTGCAGGATAGAGT